GTTCAATCCAGGCTGGATGAGCCTTGAGCAACCTGATCTGGTGAGGAGGTGTCCCTGCCCAGGGCAGGGGTTGGGACTAAGTCCCTTCCAACCCCTAAATTCTATGACCAAATTCCATGCCCAGCACACTTATTCCTGGTTTCTAGTACAGAGGGGTGGCATGGCAGGGGAGATTATCAGTCTCCCACTGCTGCAGCACAGTAAGTCCATTCAAGAAACCTCTTTGGGACCCTCCTGTTGACTTTCTGGCCACATCTGTCTGTCAGCACTGTGGGAACGTTAATTTGGATATCAGGCTGTGTGTATCTGGATCCTTTCCAAGGCATGTGCTCCCCAGCTTGCACCAATTTAAATATTTCAGTTGGAATTTGCATCTATGGCTGAAACAGTTCAATAGTTACCAAGACCTGGTGTAACAAACTTGGACAGATGTGTTTGGCTCTGTGAGGCAACTACCACCTTCGTCTGAACCACATGTGCTGATGCTGACTGACCAGTCCTGTTGCACCAAGTACTATATCTGCTGAAAACTTCCCTAAATAACAGTTGTAGCATATTCATGTTCATGTATGTGTTGATGCACGAGCAGATAGCCCACAAAGAGAGGGATGTGGTTAGTAACTCTTGTATTGGTTTATCCATGCCCAAGTCTCTGCATTTAGCTATTTCAATAAGTCATCATAACCTTAACTCATAGATTAATCCTGCACAGCTCAGGAGTGGCCATTGGTCAGTAAAAAATGCAGAGATGAAAGAGTTTAGCTTTGAGATTTTTGTTATACTTAGTATTAAAACTCAGCACTTAGAACCTTATTGGTTACTGACTGATTGGATAAAAATCTGTTGTAAACACTAAGGGGCATAAATGGCACTAAATTGTCTCTAGTCCTTTATCATAGAATCATAGAATTTAGGGGTTGGAATGGACCTTACAGACCATCCAGCCCCAACCCCTGCCCTGGGCAGGGACACCTCCTCACCAGATGCCTCCCTGGGCAACCTGTGCCAGTGTCTCACCACCCTCACAGGGAAAAAACTTTTTTCTCACATCTAAGAGAAAGTCACTAGACTTTCCCTCCTTCAGTTTGAACCTGTTACCCCTTATCTCTTTATAGAGAGGTTAAAGGAGATACTCTTGCTATGAAGAGCCTTGAGTAGACATGTTACCTTAAGGAAAATTGCTAACTTAAATGCAAAGTCAGTGGGTTTTTAATCTGTCCTTTCTCTGTCTCCCAGAAACAATCTGAGTGATTTTCTCCCTGATTTGTTGTTTGGCATTACCTTTAGCACTGCCTTTACATTACAACATTGTCCAAGTGGCTTAAGCTAGACAAGCAAACTGTTCTGAGTTTGATGTGCCTTCCTAGTTACATGTTTAACTAAATCAGGTTACAATTACATTGCCTTGAAACAATTCCCTAAAACAGCTAAATCCTCTCCTTTTTAATTAAAATGCAGTGCAATAAATATACTCTTTGATGAGCTGATGCAAAGAACACACACACCCAAGAAAGGGGTGAAAAGGTAAGTGCAGAGTTAGTGATGGTGGCTCTTTAGACACTATGATCATACAAAGCATTAGTAAACTCTTTTCTGAACAACTTAAATAGCTACAACTGTTGGGCCAACAAAACATTCTATACCTATAGCTTCAAAATTTGCTCCAAATCCTTTTTTTCATCTTCTTTAAATAGAGAAAAGAAATTCTATTCCCTGCCAACATGACACCTGTGCATTTACAGGGGAAGATCAATGGCTTTGATTAATGGGGAGAAGACCTTAGGGAAGCACAGTCTCATCTAATTGGGGCAGGGGAAGAAGTTGTTTCAGAATCCTCCAAGTTAGCTTTAAAAAAATGCAACTGTTTTTGTTCAGCACACTTAGAATTTCCTTATTGTATAAAATAATCACAGTTTATGTCAGTCCCTGTGGCCCAGCTAAGGCTTTATAACACAGCCACACCAACAGGTGTGGTTTGTAGGCCTCATTGAGAATTACCACTGGCTCTTGGCATGGCTCAGTTCCCAGAGTTGTGTTTCCTATGGTATCTCTAGTGAAGTCTGAAGGAGCCAGATGACTTCTCAGGCCCTATAAAGGCTTTTTTTATGGAGACTTGGAGCGTATTTATGTGCCTATACCCCCACTCCTAGCCTGTTAAAAGAAAGAATTTAGCACAGGTTTCCATTCTTATCTTAATGCTCACATTTGTTTTGCAGATCACCTTTAAAAAGGCTGTAAATGGACTGTGGGGCTCAATTCCCGGGCTGAGCCTAAAGTGCAGCAGGTTTCAAGGCAGAGCTGTTGGGTCCAGAGCTGTGTGTTAACTCTGCAGGGCAGGACTTGCTTAACAAGTCCCTGAAGCCTGAGGAGAAGTCTTTCCTCACCAGGGAGCTGCCATTCCACTATAGTCTAGTGGAAGGTGTCCCTGCCTGTGTTGGTGTTTGGAACTAGAGGGTCTCTAGGGTTCCTTCCAACCCAACTCACTCTGTGATTCTGAGATAGAAATGAGTGTGGGTCAGATCCTCTGTGGTGCAAATGAGTGTCCGACCCCTCTGTTGATTTAAAACCAGACAATGCTTGAATCATTGCTAGAATCCAGTTGGATTGGGTCAGATTTCACTGCTGAGTAATATCAGTGTAATGGCATTCAGATGATGACTATGTTTACCAAGATTAGTGCTTTGGTGTTAATTGTCCATCTCTTACCTCTGAACCCATTTCCATTGCCACTGGAGCAGGCAGGAGAAGGAGACCCTTGGGGTCTGATGACAGGAGCAAAGGCACTCTTCTGTTTGACAGCAGGAAAGACGGAAGAGGAGAACGGAAGGATGGAAGCAGTGCTGGAGGAGCCAACTGTTGGACTTGAAGACATTACTGCAAGAGAAAAAAAAAGTGAATTCTCAGCAGAAATGCAACTGTAGAAGTTTGGTTAAATTGCTCAAAATATCGACTGGCTGATCACTCATTTTATCTCTTAAAGAAGGTGTCTTTGTCACAGTGACTCGAATTAGAGGAGTTACCTGGCAGAGCTTGAGTCTGTGCCCTCTTGTCCTGCTGCTGTTGCCTGGGAGCAGAGACCAACCCCCACCTGACTCCAACCTCCTGTCAGGGAGTTGCAGAGGGTGATGAGGTCTCCCCTGAGCCTCCTCTTCTCCAGGCTGAACATCCTCAGCTCCCTCAGCCTCTCCTCATAAAATCTCCTCAAACTCCTTTGAGTTGGACCTTGGCCTTAAATTACAGCTCAAAGTGTGAGGATGTGATTGTAGCAGTTTTCAGATGACCAAGGAGCCTTCACAATCCCTGCAAAGTGGATCAGTCCTTACACAGATGATGTGGATGTAAATAAAATGAAGTGGGATTTTACAGGACACACCAGGTGTGCTCTGGAAAGGTGAGATCCTGACATCAGTGGGAACTACACCATAAGCAACAGTGTAGGTAAATCATTCAATATTAGGCCAATAAATTGCTGTTCATTCTGTACATATTTCCCATCTGGCCAGAGGAAGTCAAGGTATGAAAGAAAGAGTAAAACTAGTAACTAGAAATGCAGAGCTTAATTCCCTCATTGTTGTGTTTCTGGCTCTTAAGGTAATGTAGTTTCACAGGAAATAAATCCACAATTCAGCCCTCAGTGATTGATAAGGAATTCCTAGTCCTCACAGTTATTTCAGAGTGGCTCGTGCATAGGATTTGGGAAAGTCTCTGCTAAAAGTAATGGTTATTTGCTTAAGAAAATTGCGATTTGTACCTTATTTCTCACTGTGGCTTTTGCCACTTAGCAATCTGTAGAAGGATAAAAAAATGAAGGGGAAAAATAAGACATACAATTGAATATTCCTCTATTTTTCTTGAAAAAATGGAAATATTCTCTAGCTTGTACTAAAATACACCAAAACACAATCAGAACCTTTCCCAAAAATCAGCATTTTGTGGTGTGGTCAATGGAACGAAGAGGAGCACGTACGTCCGTAGGGAGATCCCGTGGGAGAGCCGTTGATGAACCCAGGGGAGCCTGGCACACCCAGGTTGGACATGGGGACGTTGCTGTAGCCGTTCATGCTGTTGCTGGAGGTGCTGTAGTTGGACTGTTGAGGTGTGGAGCTGGATGAGTACCCACGGGGTGAGATGCTGCTGGTGTTACGGATGTAGCCTGAAAAAAAACACAAGCAGGTCAATGGATTGGGCTTTAAACTTTCCTCTGTATATTCCCTGCTTAAAGCAATTACTGATTTAAATCCAGATTCATTAAAACACTTAAGCATTAAATTCAGTAGGTTTTTCTGCACATGCTGTCAAGTTAAGGAATATTGAGTTTTAAACCATCTCTTTGAAGGGAACTGATGTATATTTTTCTAGGGAGATTTGAGTGGTTAAAAGACCTGGACAACTATGTGTGTGCTTCTCTTTTTCTGAGGTAGAATTTATAATGTGTGTGGGATTTTCTGCACTTTAAGGGGGGAGCTTTTACTTTGCAAATTAATACAAATCAAGTACATTACTAAGGGGAAATTATACACATACGTAGTTTTATCCACTTTCTGCCCTTGTCATATATGAAAATAGAGACATCACAAAAAAAAAAGATACTGAGGGGAGTGGGGAAATAATTCAGTTAAGTTGGTATCAAAACTACTCAGGAATTATTTGAGGCACAGTTAATCTGCTGAGTGGACCCTGGTGCAGACACAGCCCAATCCAAACTGGCAGCACACAGCAATTTCTGGTGCTGCTGGCTTAAATCCACCTCTCAGCACCTCTGTGCTCACAAGCAGAGCAGGTCGAGAAGCTGAGGCTAAGCTGAAAGCAGCAGAGGGTGAGAGTTCCAGCAGAGGTTCACCTTGGCTGTTGCCCTGCGCCGACTCGGAGATGCTGACTCCCAGCTGGCTGCCGTAGGAGTTGATTCCCATCATACTGCTGTGAGCAGGAGAGCTGGACAGGGCAGGGATCTGTGCAGGATTCCTGGGCACGCTGTAGAGAGCCTCAGCGATGTCTGCAGCTCGTTTCAGGATGATGTCCTGAGGGAGGAACGGGACGAGGTCAGAAATGTGTCAGGGAATGCACTTGGCTATATCCCAGTCCCTCAGTCCCACCTGGTTGTTGTGTGGTGTTCCATACAGAGCTTCAACGAGGTCAGCAGCTCGTTTCAGCAGCATTTCCTGGAGGAGGAGCAGAAAACAGACATGTTAACAGCAAAAGAAGGAAAGATTTCAGTGTGAGTAAAGCCGTGGGGTTACATTCGAGCTTCGGGGCTGCTGTTTGCGTGTGGCCTCGCTGAAAACTGTGTCCCTCAGAGGGACTGTGTGCAAAACTCATCCCCTGACGGTGTGCCAAACCGGCCAGCCCGAGCCCTCGGGCCTGGGCCTGGGGAGGGGCGCTGGGGCAGCAGCCCCACTGTGTGCTGTGCCCAGGGCTGAGCCTGGCCTGGAGCTCTCCAGAGTCCTGAACTTACTGCTCCTCTGCAGCGTCACAAAGGGAGACACATTTGGGATGGACCCGTTCCCTGCTGAATATCAAGACATCTTTTTGCATAGAGACATGAATACGTGTCTATGATTCAACAGATCCTCTGCTCGGACACATCGTTTAGGGTCAGAGATTTCCCAGTGTGGATAAACGAACTGGGAAGGTACCTGCACTGGGCTCCCACTTCGCAGCAGAATAAGTTCTCAGACAGTGCTGGACTACATTGCTGGCAGCTGTGGGTGCCAAACAATCACATTCTTGCTTGGACTAATAATTAACTGGGGAATTATGTTCAGATGTGATTGGCATTCAAGATACAATTGTCTCTTTTATGAATCAGAAGTGAAAGACCATATTTAATGAGCTGAGTGAAATGCTTAAGAATATTTTACCTTTGCTAGTCTTTCGGGGTCACCAGGATGTCTTGGGATGACCTTCTGCAGCCTTTGGAAACCATAATCTATGGTAGGTTCATTTAAAGCTGAAAGGAAAAACGTGAAATATATGATACATGTATTTTGTATGGCTCTGTCTCAATAGGGGAACAAAGAAATCTTGACTTCTGCACTTAAAACTGCTCCTTTTTCCCATGTTAACTTCTCACCATCTATCAAAGGCTGAATTAACAGCTTGAAAGATACAGCAGCACTGTCACAAAATACTCCTTCAAGGGTGAAGGTACAAAACTGGACAAATCTGAGCATGGTAGCAATAAAGCAAATTATGACACAGATCTAAATTAGACCAGGTCTTCTTCTGCTGGTTATACAGTCAGAAATCAGAGTACTGTGTCTGCTCAGCTAATAAACACATTCCACACCCCCCCAAAGTTCTGCAGTCACAAACTAGGGCACAGCTATTCATTAGACACATTACCTTCTCCAGTTGTTCTGCATACATTGCCACTTCACTGTAATGATCTTAATCTCTAGCGGATAAACCAAGATATTTTGACCCAGATCCTCAGTTAGCAATAGCTGGCAGAGCCCTACTGGCATTGCTGATGATTTCATAAAACTTCAGACACTTTAATAGTCTCTGCTATGAAACAGCAGCTATAATAATCTCATTTCTGAGGATTCAAAATGAGACTATCCTCAAAATTGCTAGAGAAACCAACAGGCAGCTCACAGCGTCCTGGCTCTGCCTGCCCCTGACACATCAGTGTGCACTGAAACAGTTAGAGGTATGGGGATTTTAGCATTCCCTCATCCTTCAGAATGTGAATTATGACACAAACGACACATTCATGCTGAGAATCCTGCTAAGAGTTTCACGACACATTTAATAAGTAGCATGTGTAAGTCCTTTAGCACTGCCCTCGCAGTGCTGGCTCCAATCCTCTTGCACCATTTGTGGTTCTTTGGGGAAACAAAACACATCTCTTTTAGGAAATAGTAACTGGTGACACTGGCTGAAAATCCCTGATTGCAGGAGATGCTGATGGCACTCCTTGAATCTTCCAAAATATACTCTGCACCTTCCAGGAGAACCATCTCAGGCACCAGGAGAATGAAACGATCAAGTGAGAAAGACTATTCTGCTGATCCTGATTCTCTGTTTATCTGTGTCTGCCTTTGGTGTAACAACAGGAAGGTAAAAGGTCATATTCCCCACTGAGATACTTTTTCTATTTACTTTTTATTAAATAATTATGGCATGGCATGAAGTTTAAATATTACAGGAGATAATCAAGTGGGAATTGAGTAGAGAAAACCCAGACCTGAGAATTTAGTCTTGGCTATACTTAGAATGTCTTTGCTCTCCACTGGGAGCCATTCTGGTTTGCTTAAGGAGTTTAATAATACACATTTCAACTGCCACAGAATCTACATCCCATTTGGGAAGAGGTTTTGGGTTGGTTTTTTTTGGGGGGGTATTTTGCCAATAATCCCGAGAATTATAGGCCCATTCTCTCCAGAGTCTATCCATCATTATGTGCCATTTCTCTTCTTGATTACAAATCTGATCATTGAAGTTACAGGTCTTCAGCTAAGCAAAAGAAATGTGAAATATAGAGGAATTAAAACATATA